GTGTCACTGTCCAGGTCAGCACCTATCACAATGTAGGTGCTCAGGAAATGTTTATTGAACTATAGAAATGCAGGGATAGTACTGACTTTCTCTTTATTCCCTTCTGAGGAGTTGCAATTGTTCATTGCATTGTTCCTAGTCAGTAATCCAAACAGAAATCACTCCCATTTTAAAAGTCCTGGTTCTGTGCTGCATGACTGAAGGATGTCTAAACAAGTGGTTAAACTTTGGGCCCCAATCCAAAGAGCTGACGTTCTTGCTGTGGTCTCAGTCCCAAAAGAGTGTGCAGAAAGGAGTTCTGGAGAGAAGCCCTGTCAGGAGGCTGGAACAGGCAGAAGTGGGGTGAACCTAGGATTCAGGGCCCCAAGTCAAGGAGCCATCAGGTGGGGAGGGGAGGGAATGATGGTGCCACCATGTGGCAGGCACTATACATGCATTCTCTCATTTAATAATTCCAATGGTCCTCTGAAGTTGTTACTTTTAGCCACATTTTATAAGGAGAAAAAAACCTGTGAGATTGATATTATTCCTGTTTTACAGATAAAAGCTCAAAGTAGGTGTATTAGTCTGTTCTCACATTGCTGTAAGGACATACCCAAGACTGGGTAATTTATAACGGAAAGAGGCTTAATTGACTCTCAGTTCCACAGGACTGGGGAGGTCTCAGGAAAGTTACAATCATGGTGGAAGGGGAAACAAATACATCCTTCTTCATATGGCAGCAGCAAGGAGAAGTGCAGAGCAAAGCAGGGGGTGGTGAGGGGAAGCCCCTTATAAAATCATCAGATCTCGTGAGAACTCACTCACTATCACAAGAACAGCATGACTCAATTTCCTCCCACCAGGTCCCTCTCATGACATGTGGGGATTATGGGAACTACAGTTCAAGGTGAGATCTGGGTGGAGACACAGCCAAACTATATCAGTAGGTAAGAAAATTGTTCAGCTAGTAAAGGATAGAGGCAGGATTCAGACTTGGGTAGGCCTAACTCTAATGTCTGTGCATGTTCTGATGCTACAGGGATTGCCTCAGGTGCTGGGAAGCCCAGAACCCAGTGGTGTGGGGCGCTTGAGTGGACTCCTACTATGGTGAGCTGGGCTGTGCAAGAGCTGCTGAGATGGTAATGAATATGAAGATCAACTTGCTGGCAGCAGACCAAGTGGCCGGTCAGCTGCATCCGAACCAAACGCTATTAAAATTTGGCCCCTATGAAAAGACAGTAAACAGGCAATTCATAGTAGAGGAGATCCAACTTGCAAAAAACAAAAGCCAAAACAAACCAAATCAAAGCAAAATAATGATATTAAAAGTCTTTCCACCTCATTAGTAAGTGGAGACATGCAGGTTAAAATACAATTTTTATAGCCATAAAATGGAAAAAATTTTAAAATCTGCCAATAGCAAGTATTGGCAAGAATCTGGTGTAAGTGTGATTACGTATTACTGGTGGGAATAAAAATTACTACTATCATGTTGCAAAACACTTTGGCAATACCAATAAAAGCTAAAGATGTAGAAACACTATGCCCTAGGAATTCCACTCCTAGATTGGGATCTCTGAAGAAACTGGCACATGTTCACCAGAAGACATTTAGAAGAATATTTATAGCAGCACTGTCCATTACAGCAAAAACTGGGAAGCCACTCAGACACCCATCGACGGGAGAATGCATAAATGAATTGAAATTGATTTATATAATGAAATACCATACAACAGTGAGAATAAATTGATCATAGCTACATGCAACAAAAAAAAAGAGGTTTCATAAACAAATACTGACTGGAGAGAAAAGTAAATTGCTATATTCAACATACCATTTATGTCAAGTACAAATCTTATAAAACTAACAGTGGATACATGCAATAAACCTCTGAGGAAAACAAGGGAATAATATGCATAAAACTCAGAGTAATGGTCCATCCAGCAGGAGAAATCAGAGGTATGACACCATGAAAGGTATGCAGGGGACTTCTTGATTTTATTTCTAAGACTAGAATTTCTGGATATTAGGCATATACATCTACACCTACAGGTGTTCATTTTATTATTTGTTAAAACTTATTCTCTCTCTCTCTCTCTATATATATATAAAATATGTACATATATATATATTTCCCTTTCAAAGGGATAATTAATGTTACCAAAAGAGATCTGAAGTGTATAAAACAAATTAAAAGGGAAGCAAGACAATGGGCAATTGGCAATTGTATAGACAACTCCATAGATCCTCTGGAAACCAAAGGACAGTGAAGGAATTGGGATCTACATCAGGACGGGGTCACTTTCCTGGGGTCAATAATCGATTTAAGTTCTCATGTTGGCTGTTTCTCCAATGGTATCTTTTCCTATAATTGCCTTTACTTACAATAGCTCCTCCATCTACAATGCCATTCCTTTAGCTTTACTTGTCTAAAGTGTGTCCTTAAGTATTAGGTCGAATTTTACTTTATTGTATTTATTTCCCGCTTACTAAAGGCCTACTACATGCCAGACCTGGAGCAGCCAGGAGTTAACAAGTTGTGGTCCCCAGGCTTGCAGAGATGGCAGGGGAACAGGGGAGGAGACAGACAAAGGAGCAGAGAATCACACAGTATTAGTGCTCTTCCGAATTGCTGGCACATAAAAGTCAGCTGTGGAGCTGTTAAAAAGCAGATTCTCAAGCCTCCCTGGCGATTCTGGTGGGGTAGGTCTGGGTGGGGTACAGGAACTTGCTCTTAGGAAACTCTCACTGAATTTGATGCAGCTGGTCCACAGACCTCACTTGGAGAAACAGGGCCTGTTGGTGTGATAAATGTGACAATGATAGCAAAGGTACTTGGGCATGGGAGCCCCAAAGTGGGCCATGTCTCCCACCTGAGGCATGGACATTAAGTCAGGGTAACCTCCAGGAGGCCCCTCTGTAGAGCATCTTCATTTGTAATTTGTAGGTGTGAATCACCTTCCCCACTGCAGTGGACACTGTTCCCAGCACAAGGCTTGGCATGCAGTATATGTCAGGGATGTTTTATTCAGTGGGGTTTCAGAGCAGCAGTCTGGACTAGGGAGCAGGCCTGGCAGCCAGGCCTTGGGTGGCAGCAGACCCTGGGGACCATCAACTCCTTGGCCTCTCCGGTATGTTCAGATTGGCCTATCTCCAAGCATGTGTTGGGGATTAGCGCAAGTTACTGGTTTGGGTCCGACTGGTATTCACATCTGAGCTGGGAACCAGGATAGCATCTGCAACCACGTTGACATTAAGGAGACGGGATTGTTAGAGACATTTCTCCACTAATGATCCTATAACTTCTTAGCAACGAGCTTGATCTGTGCTGGAAGGATGAAAGGGATGAAGGCCAGATGGAGTAAGAGGTTTCTTATGATGGCAATAGGGCTGCTTCCTGCTTCTAGCCCCTGCTTCCCTTCCCTTTTCTAGGCCCAAACAACGCACCTCTCTGAAGGCCTGTTAGTTAAACACCTGGCATGAGTCCAGTTCTGCCAGGGACCACATGGCTGCTGTTTGTTCCCTTTTATTAAGCACATCCAGGTGAGTTTTATTGCGGACAGTTCCCTGGGCTCCTGTTTCCACATTTATCTCCTCTGAGTCTGAGATTGCCAAAGGCTTTTACAGCTAATGGACCTTACAGCTCCCAAGAGCCATTTAAGGGAGGCACAGAACTCAGTGGTGGTAATTAGTCAAACGAAATGCAGACCTCTGGAGGCCCACAGGAGCTGAGTGGCAGGAAGACATAGGGACAGAAGCCTCAGGTCTGTGGCAGGTATAGGGAATGAGCACGGGCTGCTCCTCACCCCACCTCTCCTGTTCTTCCCCTGCCTCATCCCTACCTCCCATTCCCAACCTGAGAAGGACTTGGTGCTTGGTGGCAGGGTCCCCAGGCAGGCTGGTGCCCAGGGCATTTGAGGGGCTGCAGTAGCACTGCAGAGCTAATCTTGACAAGCTCCTGCCCTCTTTTTCTCCAGCAAGTTTTGTGTACTGACCCTGATGGAGGCTGAGGTCTGAGCTCAGATACCACTTCTTAGGAGGCAGCATAATATCCTGTTCAAAACCTGGGTTTTGACACCAGGACCATTTGAGTTTGAATGCCCAACCAGCTGCTTTTAAAGTTCTTGATTTGGGGCAAGTCAATGAACCTTTCTGGGCCTCAGCTTTCTCGTCTGTAAAATGGGGATAATAATACTGAGCTCAGAGGGTTATTGTAAGGAATAGATTGTATAATAACATGTGCACTCTATAGAATGGTGCCTGGCACACTGTAAGCACATGCTCAGCAGAAGCTGTTATCATACCAAAAGCAGGTCTGATCCAGGCAGAGCTTGGAAACATGTTCTTATCTGGCACTAATGTCCCACCAGTTTCAGGTTTGCTCCTTACTGGTTGGGCACAGAAAGCAAGGCCTCCAGGGAAGCAGCCCCATTTCTATCAGGGAGGATGGTGGAGGACAAGATGGGGAAGGAAATACTAAGCTCATCCTGTTGCTAAATATGAGGAAGAAACCAACATTTCTTGAGCATCTCTTCTAGATCAGGCATTGCCTGCTTTATCTCTTCAATCCCACAACACCCTGTTGAAGGGTGATGAAACAGAATCTCAGAGAGGCTAAGTGACTAACGCCAAGTCACATAGCAAGGAAGAGGGGTCCAGGATTAGAGGGACCCCTCAGGGATGTGAGATTTCTAAGTGACTATTCTTTTATGACAATTTGCTGTGGTTGATGACCAGGGTCCTGCCTCTGGACACTTGACTTGCTGTCTGCTCTCTAGGAGGCCCATGGAAGGTTACTGATCTCCGCTGGACTCAAAGGAGAGGCCTCCAGGTGCCAGAATTTGAGTCATTCTGAGGGCCTTTTCACTGGATTGTCCCTGGCTCCACATGGGGTCCTGGGCTGTTCTGGGAAGCCAGAGCTGGCTTCCATGTAGGGGGTGCTGAATCTGTCTCATTAATGTCATGGGCAGTGGTGTTCACCCAGAATGCACAGGGGAGCTCCCTCTCTCCATCTGCAGGTGGATGGCGTTCTGTGCTTGGCCGACATCCTGACTGACGACAGCCACTCAGAGGCCACACGGGCTGAGGCTGCGGCTGTGGTGGCCCAGGTCACCTCCCCACACCTGCCCGTCACCCAGCACCTCAGTAGCTTCATGGAGAGCATGGAGGAGATCGTGACAGCCCTCATCAGTGAGTCACCCTGGGCAGTGGGACCACTAGGAAATGGGCCTTGGCACAGTTGTCTTCAGGAATAGCCAGGAAGGCCTTCCCATCTGCCACTCATTGCACCCCAAATATCTCCTGCATAGATGATCACATTTGCTGAAATCCCACCATTAATGGATCTGAATTAGGCTTTGATGAGCTCTGTTGTCAAGAGTTTCCTATTAAAATGTGTGTGGCCCTCTGAGAAGCAACCTGAATTATTGTCAGTTTGGGATTCAATGGCCTTTCAGAAGGGAGTCCAGGACAAGCCCTAGAAAGGAGTGGTGCCTCAAATTTTGAGGTTCAGATACTCAGATTGAGAGACTCTGATAGGCATTTTTCCTAAAGTCTCAGTCCTTGTACCCAGTGACTATGAGAGTAATGCCTGGGGAAAATGGTTTCTCAGAGAGCACCAGCCCACCACAACCTGCTGCCTGAAAATCCCACCATTGGTCTCACATCATGGGGCCTTGAAAGCATTGACTCCTCTAGGTTCCCCTATTCAAACGTATGTATCCCTGGCAGGAGAATCATAGATCCGTATCTGAAATATGCTCTTTTCTTAGTTTTCCTTTGCTAAATTATAGAAACTGAAAGGGCCAGTCTGGATAACAATCCCCAGGGAATTTTTTGTGACCCACCTCTTTCTTTTAAAAGTGCTAGTGCGAGTAGTGATCTGTGTTTCTATTTCTCTGTCACTCTCTTTATATCTATATCTAATTGAAATGAAATGAAAGTTAATTTCATCAGAAAGTTTAGGATTAGCTCTTGGAGTGACCATGTCAGGGCTGGAAATATCTGAAATAGCACGAACTTAGGGGCAACGTAGAACATTGGGCTAGGAGTCAGAACCCTGGGTTTGGACTCAGGCTTTTTACTTATCCATTCAAGTGGCTATGTGCAGCAAGCCTGTGGCGGTGCTGTGTGAGATCCCGCCACTCACTTCTTACCATGTCACATTGTAAAACCCACTTCACAGTTTTCCTAATATAAACAAGACATTGCAACTAGTTTCTCTCAAGGGTCCTTCTAACTCCAGAATTTGGAGATCTGCAAGTACTTCGCACATAGGAGACATCAGTTAAGTTGACTTTATGGCTGATTCTAGTCATGGGGGCAGTGGTACTCACAGGTCAGGCTGGGAGGATCAATTTGCCAATGTCCACATTTATTCAAAATTGAGAAAACATAGAAGCCCATTGTTGAAAGTCTTGGCTCGGGGGAGCGCAAGAGACCCTACAGTTTCAAGCATACTCTCTGGGTGAAGAAATCTAAGCCTAGAGGGGTTAAGTTACTTTCTCAAGGCCACACAACAGCATTAGGACTCACTTATGCCAGGAGTCTCATATTCAACATCCACCAGAGCCTGGTAAGAAACGTAAATGAGTTGAAGAGAGCCAGGTGGAAGAATAAAGGTGTTTGAGTCCTGTGTCAAATTGAAAAGTCCATGCACTGTCTAAAGGGGTGGTCACTGGTAAGTTTCAGTTGATTGTTACCATGTAGGAAAGGCATAGACTTTTAAAGATAAGACAAAAATTGTAAACTTCATAGAAAATTTCTCAATTTATAAACATTATCAAATAAATGAAAGTACATATATTCAAAGTGACCTTTCACTATTGTCATATATTCATTCCTGCTTCACTGCCCAGGCTGGGTTTCTCCCTGGAGCCAAGGAATCTTCCTATTTATTTCATCCTGATGAAGACGCATTGTATAGTCCACTCTGAGATTCAGCAGATATCTTCTGGGCAGGAAGCCAGAGCTCTGTTCTTTGGTGGGAAATAGCCCTCCAACTTCTTGCCATTCCCTGGAAACATTTATAAATGAGTCACTGGAATCCTCAATTTAATCTTCCTAACACATCCCAGGTGACTCAGACTGTAGTTCAAATAAATGTGCAGCAAAATTAAAAGGCACTTAGTTGGTTGTGTTAATAATTGCTGTGTCAGCAGCAATAGCAACTGAATGAGAATGAGGGGGAGTGTTAGGACCTAGAAGGAATCTTACAGCAAAGTGGGCCGATGAGCTCTGTAGACTCACCCAAAACCTTGGATGTAGGGAGGTGGCCTGGAAGGGGCTGGGGACTCCAGTGATTTCCCCAAAATCAGAGGATAGGGCAATCATTGGATAAAGGGAATCAGAGTTCTTAATACCTTGGCTAATCTGTTGTTCCAGTCCTGGGTGGTTGGATCAAGAGTTTGAATTATCTAATGGTCAAACCTGGGCTGTGGGGAGCAACATTGCCCAGAGGGAGGCATTACCTTCCTGATAGAACCGAAACGCATGTCTGTGGAAGCATTGCTGGGAATGAGTCAAAGAGGCTGAGAGACCAGATGCAACTTGGGGTGTAGAAAGAATGGGGACTTCGGAGTCAGGCAGACCTGGATTTGATTCTAACCTCAAAGAGTTACTTACTGGCCATAAGACCAGGGGCAAATCACTTAACATTTCAATCCTCAATTTCTTTATGTATAAAATAGTGATAAAAATGGGATTGTTGTAAGGATTAAATGATGTAATGAAGTAAAAAATATGTACAGCAGTGAGTAACACTCAATAAATGGTAGCTGCTGCTACTACTAGCTTCTCTAAGATTCAGCTAGTTGTAAATGTGGACAATCATTTTCTAATTTGAGGGTATTCAGAATTTAATGGCGCAGTGCAAGGCCCACTGCAGGTGTTAGACTAATGTTATCGGTAGAAAAAGGGTTTTACTACTAAAACTAAAAGGTAGGGATCATAATGTGCATTCACAGGTGGGTGCCAAGAGGTGGCAGTTGCATCAGAACCTGGAAGTATAGACTGTCTGGAGGCAAGAACTAGGGACCAGGATAGAAGATAGCTCAATTTTGTCTCCCGAACTTTCTTTCTCTCCTGGGACTCTTTTCCTGAAGTATGGCCTTGGCTCCTGTGGTTTTGTAGAGGTGTTATCAGTAGGAGAGGGACTGGACTGGAGAAGTACCTTGATTGATAGTCAAGTTGGAGCTGAGGGCCAGACATCAGGTCCACTGAAATGGGGGAAGCACCATGGATAGAGCCCATCTATGCCTCCTCCTTTGGTGGGCGTCCATTCCAGGTTCTGTGGAGCCCATGGGGGATGTGTCAGGTGGTGGAAGGATGAGGTCACTCTGCTCCTTAAAGGCCCTTAGTACAATTACAGATGGTAAATGGGGGAATTTGGTAGGGCTAAGCTAGGACCACCAGGATTAGAGATAAAGAGCCTGACATTCAGAAACTTGGTATAAGACTTTCTTGCTGCCAGATGACCCTTATCCTGGGACTGAAAGAAAGCACCGAAGCTCTGTTGATGGCAGCTGGAGGGGTATAGTCTCTCTCTTTCACCTTTAGTCTCTTCCTTAAGGCAAGCTTAGCAGCAGGCTAGTGTGCATTACTGGAGACACAAATGGACTGGGAGCTCCTTCCCGACTCACAGGCTTTATATCTCTTTTTCCTTTGGTCTAGAATATTCTGTTTCCCCAAGTATTTTTATGACTGGCCCATTTCTTCCCTTAAGGTCTCAGCTGTAAAGTCACATTCTTAGGGACACCTTTTGTTGCACACCTCAGCAGACCGCTAGTTATTCTCTCTTAGCACTTGTTTATTTTCTCCCTCGTGTTTATCAGACTTTGTAATTATGTATAGTAATTTTTTTAAAGTTTATTTTCTCTTGCCCACTAGTAGAGTGTGAGCTCAACAAGGGCAAGGACCTGACCTGTTTTGTTCACTATGCCATCCCAAGACCCCAGTGGTGCCTGCCTGACACATAGTTTTCATTCAATAAATACTTATTGGATGAAGGATTGAGTAGAGTTACATACCAGGTTTCAAATCCCATTTGCCACCTGTGTAGACAGATACTGTTCCCTCTTAGTAGCCACTTTCCTCATCTGTAAAATGGCTATTATAACACCTGCTCAAAAGATCTCCCAGAGCTACTGTGGGAACCAAATGAGACAACTGATATGAAAACACTTGGCACAGAAGTTATTTTCTTTCTCATTGCCATCCAGAACTGTGCCAAGAGGCCTCATCAGGGGAAGTCTTCCTGCTGGCCTCTGCGGCCCTTGCCAACATCACGTTCTTTGATACAATGGCCTGCGAGATGCTCCTGCAGCTGAACGCCATCCGTGTCCTCCTGGAAGCCTGCAGTGACAAGCAGAGAGTGGACACGCCTTACACTCGGGACCAGGTAAGATGCCCAGAAGGCACTGAGCCCAGGGCCCATGGCCATGGATACAGAGGTTAGGAGGCCAGCGCTTAGTTTCTGAGGCAGGGGAGAGAGCATGGGGGTACTGTTAGTTTTGCATGCTATAGGAAGGTAAATATTCTCCACATTTCTCATTGACTTTGAAGCCTCTTATGAGACCTCCTACCCCCTTTACCCATCCCATTATGAGTTTTACATGCTGCAGGAAGGTAAAGGAATATGTTTTCCATGTCTCTCATTGACCTTGAAGCCTCTCTATGAGATCTCCTACCTGCTTTGTCCATCCCAGCCACTATAGGGCCTTCCTCAATCTCTGTTCAGATTGCCTGTTCTTCGAGACAGAAAGACCCACGGAAGGTGCCTAGACATCCTCTGAAGGTCTGTGTCTGGTCATGTTGGTGACCATCTGACACTGAACCCTATAGTGAACTGCTTCCCTCTTTACCTCCATGAGAAACAGGGGCTTGGAGCAGAACCTTCATTCGGGGCCTCAGCCTCCACATCAGTCATAATTTTCTTTGTATATTTGAGCTCCATGAAAGGTTTTCTTTGGTAGAAAAGGGGTTTTACTACTAAAAGTGTTCGAAGACATAGAATGGGGGTATTTTAAAGGCTCTTTGAACTCTGATGTTCTAGAATTTTATCCCATTTCACCTCTGGCCACACTTGGCCTCCCACATCACCACCAAGCAGTAGGGGTGGTAGATTAGGTGGTCTCTGTAAATTCCTCCCAGTACCTGAGCTCTAAGTTACATGATCCTCTCATCCTCAACTCAGCTTATCCCTGTCTGCATTTTAGCCCCCACAACATCACCTCTTCCAGCCTTATCTCTTAACTGAAGCTGCTTTGGTTTCTGTTCCATGCCAGCAGCTCCAGGAAGGCCTTCCCTGATGGTTTTGGCTCTCTGGAATTGCCTCCTTTTCTTAGAATTCATGCCTCACAATGCAGTGTTGACTTATCTAATAACATTTATTCCTCTTAATTATTTCATGTGATTTTCTTCCTCTGAGGGCATGATCCATGTTCTGTATTTCCCTAGGATTTTTAAAGGCCTCTAGTGTAGAGCTGGTGCCTTTGGTGAAGTTCCCCGAACTTTGTCAGTTATTTCTTATCCTTAGAATCGCCTGTGAAAGGGCAGCTGACCATAGAAGCTCCTGTTCAGAGAGAATTTTCTAGTATCTAAGCATTTGTATATGAGGGTTCTAAAAATACTGTGACACTGGTGATATTTGCCCCATTTTATAGATAAGAATATTTTGGCTCAAGAGGATGTCCCCAAAATTAAATGGTTGGCAGGCAGCTAGCTAGCATTTAAATGAGGATTAAATTTAAATCCTGACTTAGACCTTGATCTTTGACTCTCATCTGCTGTTATCTTTGAAGAAAGGAGGTGGTGCTGCTGTTGAACCACAGACTGAATGTTGGTCCTGCCTGGGCCATTTATCAACTGAGCGACATTCAGCAAGTCAAAGGCTCCTGGTTGTTGGATTTTCACATCTATTAATTGGGACATTAATGTTTACATTGTAGGGTTATTGTGAGGGTGAGTGTAATAAGATATGCAAGGACCTGATATAAGGCTTAGCCCCTACTGAGTTCTTAATAAATGGTGAATATCATTACTTTTTAAACCTGATGCTCCAAAGAAGAGCATGAGTAGTGAATTATCCAAAATCCTCAACTTGGCCCTCCAAACTATGTATGATATGTGTGATTCCAGACTTCCTTTCCAGTCTAATCTTATTACTTCTAAGAGTTGGAGAAGTCCCCATAGAGACAAGGTGTGACAGTAACAGATAGAGTGGTGGTACCCTGGTTGACTATTGGCCTGATTGACTCCTGAGGGAGACATGCCCCATGTCTACCCTTGGTAGTGGGGAGGGAGACAGGAGGGCCCACCCTTTGTGATCTGCCTTACTCATGCTCTTGTTCTCTTCAGATAGATACCTCCAGTTGCTGGGTCTCTCATCTACCTAACATAATTTTAGGTGCCTTCACCTTCAAGTGCCTCTCCTGTGGCAGACTCTAGTCATTTCATACAAGATCCAGTAGTGAGGCAATAAGACAAGGAATTCTGGATTCAGACAACCTGAGTTTGAAGCTTTTTTGCTATTAATAATCATGTCACCTTGGGCAATTCACTCTGAGTCTCACTTTCTTAATTTGTAAAATGGAAACAAATAATACATATTTTACAAAGTTGAAATAAGAATTAAATAAATTAATAAATATAAACTCTTGGTAAAGACGCTGGCACATGGAAGGTATTAAATCAATGGAAGCCACTGTCAATGTTATTACAATTGGCCTTTGAATGTGTGGCACACAGCATTGAATGGGAACCTCCAGAGAGGAGTTCCCTCATCTGTAAAATGGGCATGACTTCTTCCATCTTGGACGTCCTGTGTCTCTATGTGTAGAAGTCCCCTTCTTATCACAAGGAATGACTAGCCCCCTCTTGAAGCCTCACTGAGTCCTATGAAAAGGAGATCAGGGTGGGGAGAGAATGTGGTCATGCTGCCAGCAGATAGTTCTCTCTGTACCTGGAGTCAGCACCTTTTCATGTTACTCCACTGTCTGAGCCAGGCACGTCCTCCACTGTCCTCAGGATGGCTTCACCTTCTGCCCTGGCTCAGAACAACCACTTAGCTAGTGAAAGTGCACCCATTAAAGAAACAAATGGCTCTTTCCTGTGGCAGCGGGAGGATTAAGGTGATCAGAGGGCTCTCTGTAATGAAGACAAAGAAGATGAATTAGGTTTTGAAGTGCTCACCACCCCCTGAAATACTTAGGAGATTAAATGCCCCATGAGGCTTCCGGTAATGAATCTGCCAATGACGCCAATGCTGTGTGGAACCTCTTGGTCTTGGATCTATACGGACCACCTCTGTTTGGACAATGAGAACCCCTCCATCATCCTGGCAAGCCAGGTCCACTTAATTTGTTCAACGGAAGCCTCATTGCGTATGCCTATCCTGTAGCCACCTTTGGGGTGTGGCCGTTGGTGAGGGCAGCCTTGGACATAGGCTCTTCTACCCCCTTTGGCTAATCTACAGGAAGGTGGCATGGGCTGCAGCTGATATGGTCAGCCATTGAAAAGCCTGACAAGCAACCTGGATAGTCCTATGCTTTCATGCCCAGGAGGTATTTTCCAGGAGCCATACTGTCCATGGAATCCAGCAACAGATCTGACAGGGGGAGATAGGAAAGGGGCTACCTCCAAATGTGTTGGTGAACTTCTGCCCTGTCTGTCAAGCAGCGATAATCTAGGATGGAAGAGACCTGATTATCTTGTCTAATATATAATAGAGATTTTTACTGAGCCTGACTTTTTGTGGCCTTCAGGAATTAACTGCTTTCATAAGGGCAGGAGTGCTAGTATATACTTCCCACAATAATACCTCATCTGTTTGGCATTTTAGAATGACTAGATTTTGTAACATTTCTGGGACCTCACTGTGAATACCATTTATCAGGAAATGCCAGTCACTAGGGGTTTCGTTTTTGACTCACATCTCAAAATCTCTCTATAGTTTATAAAGCTCTGTTGTGTACATATGTGACATATTAGAAACAGCACAGGTTTTTAGTTCAGACAGATTTGAGTTCACATTCTGGTTCTGCCGTTTCCCAGCTATGTGATAGTAGACAAATCACTTTACCTCTCTGAGCCACAATTTCCTCATCTGCGTAATGGGAATAATAACATTTGCTCCCTCCCTCATGTCATTATGATGATTAGATGGGATAATGCTCGTAAAGTACTTAGAACCAAAGCGAATACTCAATAATGAATGGGACGGGGTTCTCTAACAGAACCAGAGGCTGGGATAGGTCTGAGACAGGGAATGTAAGCTTTGGAACAGGAAGGTAGGGTCAGGAAATATAGTTAACGTGGTGGCAATTGTATTGGTCTGTTCTCACATTGCTATAAAGAAATGCCTGATGTAATCCCATTACTTTGGGAGGTTGAGGCAGGCAGATTACCTGTGTTCATGAGTTCAAGACCAGCCTGGGCAACATGGCAAAATCCTATCTCTACAAAAAAAAAAAAAAAAAAAA